GGGCAACCAAGATAGCTCCATACCAGAAAGCCAAAGCCCAGGTTGAGTAAGTCACCAGATAAATAACTCCCATGCCTACGCCTTTCGAGAATCCAATCCTCCTCCCAAATGGCACAGAGTTTTCCAAGAGCTCAGCATATTTTGCACCAAGGTTATCTTCTGCAACGAACGAAAACACAGTTCGGATTGAACTGATGGCTTGCTCTGCCACTCCCCCAGCTTTCCTGTAAGAAGCCTTCAAAGGAAACATGGGAAAAGGCTTGAAAAAACGCAACATATAGAAGGATGTGCAACAACCAAGCCCACCACCGGTCCTCTTTCCACTTTCCCACAAGATTTTAAAAACGCGTCTACTAGGAAAAGTTTTCCATATTCTTATAAGGAATGCTTTGTTTCCCTCTCCAACCGATTTGGGATCTCACAATCCACCCCCCTTGGAGGCCCAGCATCCTCGCTAGCACACCACTCGGTGCTTGGCTCTAATACCATTTGTAACAGCCCAATCCCACTGCTAGCAGATATTGTCCTCTTTGGGTTTTCCCCTTCGGGCTTCCCCTCAAGGTTTTCAAAACGTGTCTACTAGGGAAAGTTTTCCACACTCTTATAAGAAATGTTTCATTTTCCTCTCCAACCGATGTAGGATCTCACAATCATTTGTAACCTCCTAAGCCCATCGCTAGCAGCCTTTTTGGGATTTCCCTTTCGGGTTTCCCCTCAAGGTTTTTAAAACGCGTCTATTAGGAAAAGTTTTCCACACTCTTATAAGTAATGTTTTGCTTCCCTCTCTAATCGATGTGAGATATGGTTCTGAAGATTATATCAAAGTACCTCTTCTTTTGAAGCTAGGCCAACATAAATGGCTTTATAAGCTATGCCACAGAACATCATCAGAGGAGTCACTGAGAAGACAACCAAAGAAACTTTCCATGACCTTAGAAAACCCACTACATACCCACATATGAAGGTGAATATGTGGTGAATGAAGTGAGCCATCTGCAAACGCAGAACGACACGACGTTAAATAAATGACTTGGAAACAATGTATTAAGGTTGTCAAAAACATCATCAGTGCATTACCTTCTCCCCCATCACTTCTTGGATTTGAGCCACATCACTGGAAATTCCATGCATAATATCACCCGTGGTAATTTTTGTGTCGAAAAAGCTGATATCCTGTCGTAGAACGGCTCGTAGATACATCATTCTAATACGCTGAGCCGAACGATCCCCCACCAATCTCCAACAGGTTATCTCTGTCAAAATTACAGCTTCAAGTCCTATGTTTGCAGGAAAGTTAATGGAATGCTATTTTACAGGTCTCTCCCACTTACCCATGTATGCTCCAACCACCACAGTTGCTGCTAATCCAGTCATGAACAGGCATATCTGCAAATTTAAGCATAAGTTGTAGAAAAAGAAAAGGTATTCAAGTTTAAGGTAACTTCTGGAAGGATAAAATTTCTACAATATTTAGACAAACACACTAGAAAAGTACTTAAAATTTTTTTTTGAGGATTGTTGGGAGAGAGTCCACCTTAACTAATTTAGGGAATGATCAAGAGTTTATAAGTAAGGAATACATCTCCATTGGTACGAGACCATGAGAGCTTATGCTCAAAGTGCACAATATCATACCATTGTGAAAATCCGTAATTCTTAACATGGTATCAGAGTCATGTCCTTAACTTAGCCATGTGAATAGAATCCTTGAGTGTCAAACAAAGGGTGTACTTTGTTCGATGGCTCCAAAAAAGGAGTCGAGCTTCGATTAAGGGAAAGTTGTACGAGGGTTCCCTAAGTGTTGAACAAAGGGTGTACTTTGTTCGAAGACTCTAAGGAAGGAGACGAGATTGTACGGGGCTCCATAGGCCTGGGCGGGGGAGAAGTCGAAAGCAAAGCCTAAGTAAGAGTAAATTATGCGGTTCATACCCTTGCCACATCTCTCATCATCTGGGTCTTGTCAGCTTCAGAAGATTCTATAGCAAGCTGGTTGACAAAATTCCCAAAAAGATAAGAATACCAAGGAAGAGATCCGCCATTGATGAGAGCTCCTAAACAGCCCAATATTATAAGAAGAAAATCCCACTTCGTTGAATACTTAAACAAGCTAAAAAGCCCAACTGCCTTCGCAGGCTCCACTTCATCTTCTTCATCACTGGCATCCGAAACACTATCATCAGTATACGATGAATACATCCTACTATGTTCGAAGTTAAAAGAATGTTCAGAAATAGCACGGTAATTCTTGCTAAGCTCATCTTTATCCGCCAAAAGCCCTTTACTTCCATTTTTCAGGCAGGAATAGGGGCCGATTTTGCTAGTTTCACTAGGAATGTAGCTTTTTCCGATGAACAATGAGTTCTCTGTTTCTCCACCCACAAAGCTCTGTAGTTCCACTCTGCCAGCTGGAATATAGCCGTACGGGCTCGGAACATTCCGGCGAACCCGGCGAGATGGAGAAAGATAGTAATCATTGGCGGTTCGGCGTAAAGCGTGGGCAGTTGAAAATGAAGATGGGGCAATAGAGGCAGCCCAGGGACCTAGGGCTATGCCGAAATTACGAGAATCTCGCCATCCAGTTGGCTCGAACTGCCAATAGAGCTCCCCTTGCCATGATTTATCATCGTCTGTGGCGAAGGGAGTGGCTGGATGAAGGTTTAGAGACCGTCTTTCTGGAGTGGATGTTCGCGTAATAATGGAGGAATCTAATTGGGAAAAAGAGATAGAGACGTCGGTCGAACTCGCCGGCGTCGGATAGTGGAGCCGGTAGCCGGGAATGGCGGACATGGCCGTAAATGAAGGTTTAGAGCTCGCAAATGGATGGGATTACAAAAGGGAAAAAACAAATTCCAGCGAAACTGCGGGGAGTCCGTATCCCAATACGAAGAAACGAAGAACAAAACTAACTGTAATTCGAGAAGAACAAAACAGGAAAGGAGAGGTTGGATTGAAAAATTGGGGGTGAGGATTTTACATGGAAGATTGGCGAATCTGTTGGAAGTGAGGTATCCATGGAAGCTGTGGATGCATATACAGAGGAAGGTGCCGGCGGGACGATTGAGAATGGGGAGTGGGCTTGGTCGTCTTGCCATGTTCTTGAGCTTGTAAACAGGCCAAATGGCTGCTCAAATTGTTTGTGATATTCAAATATGCGAAGGGACTGTGGTTTTGGTTGGTTTCTTGTGGAGTTGGGAATCCATTTGTGAGATCGGGAAGCGCCCGAATATTCAAAATTAAAAGAAGGAGTTGGTTACTTCATTTTGATGGTCAACACAATGATTGATAACTTTTCTGTTTTTTTTTTTTTATTATTATAATTATTATTGGGTTTGATTTTTTCTTTTTTTGATTGGGTTAATTTTAACCCGGGTTAGTGTCTCTTAACCTTTTTTTATTAGGTTGGTTGTGAGGGAATAAAATGTTCGTTTAGGGTTGTGACATTTTTTTTGTCAAGTCAACCTCACCAACTTAGATTTAATATCCCACTCCTCGACCACTTGATAAAATGGGGAGGGAAATGGGACAAATGACCGATACTATTGAAAGGATTCCTCTTTGGATAATCTCTTTGAATAATAGGTACTGTAATTGGTATTCATATTTATTATCCCACTCCACGACCACTTGAAATGGGGAGGGACGTGGGACAAATGGCCAAGACTATTGGAAGGATTCCTCTTTGGATAGTAGGTACGGTAAGGTAGTTAGTATTTTCTTTTATGGTTCATTTTCTGGATTAGGTTTATCTATGTAATAATTGGATAAAAGAGGGGTAAGTCCCGTTGAGCTCTTACTAATTAGAATAAATTATTCATATAAATGACAAAATGGATCAACTCTATCCTAATTCTAAGATTGTTATGAAAATAAAGACTGTTTAACGATTGTAACCAATGTACATGTTGTGACTTGAATTTTGATATTGGAGTTTTATGAGATTTTAGTTATTAATCTAACGTGTATTGTCATAAACTCTATTCAGGTTGTCTTGGTCACCAACCCAACATGTAACAAGTATTGTCATGAACTCTATTCAGATTGTCTTGATCACCAACCCAACCAATTCAAAAATTTTGAGTCGTGTCGAATAACCCAACATATCCAAGAATCTTAACTGGATATTAACGATTAACTTTTATACTAACTTTTTGTTACCAAATTTTAATAAAACTACCTAATTTAAACATTTTGACACATTAGAAAACAAAAATATTTAAAAGAATAACAAAATTTACTTACAAGATTAAGAACCATTTGGTATAACACTTAAACATGCATATAACTTCTTAAAAGTAAATAGGCTAAAATATTCTAATTCCTCAATGAAAGATTGCTTGAACACGCCCAAGCCCACTATAAACGACGCTAGATTCTTGAAAAAAAACTATCATCAAATATAAAATACATAGAAAATAATATGAAAAACTTGGGCAGCTAGAGCTACATAGTATCATAGGACCTCAACCTGAAAATCTGCTCAATCTCGTCTGTAAAAAATGAGCATAGCTTAAACATCATCAGCAAGTACTCCCTTGAGATCGGTTGTTCGAAACTTATTGTCTTATTTATACTTAAAAAAGAGAGTTCAAATCCTAAAATTCGACTTGTACTTAAAAAAGAGAGGTTCTATGAGATTCCAAATCAGTTGGGAAGGAGAACGAAACCTTCCTTATAAGAATGAGGAAAAATTCGACTCCCTAGCGGACGCGTTTTAAAAATCTTGAAGGGAAGCTCAAAAGGGAAAGCCCAAAGATACAATATCCGCTAGCGGGGTGGGCTTGGGTCAGCCGCCCACCGCCCATGTATGGGAACAATCAGAAGCAACAAAGTAAGAAAACAGTATGCAAATCTCAAGTCTAATTACACTGACAATGGCCACTTAAAAGGGCATAAAAACAAAGAATTACCAAACCATGAACTCAAATTTCCCAGAGCCACATAAACTTGGATGAAGTTACAGAAAAAGAAATGATACCTTAATGAACAATGACGGAAAATGACAGAGTAGTGGTGCAAAAAGCTTTTATTATGCATAATTATATCACGCTCAACAATTCTGTTCTTGACACGGGCTCCTTCAGATATACAGCACACAAAACTAAACTGTCAGAGCAAATGAAGAGCAGAGCCAAAGGGAAAAAAAAATGCTCCTAGCCTACCAAAATCACAATGACATTCTGCCAACAGTTAACTCATCGTTCAATATAGTATACTTGATTAATTCAAGACAACTAACAGGTGTAACTTAACTACCTAATGATGTAGGCGGTCGGTTCTGTGAATCGAATTAACATGTACATGATCGAATTGCAGACCTCGAGTCTGTTTTGCTATTATCTTCAAGAACTTGTATCTTACACAGTAGTAAACTGTTATACTCTACTCAAGGATAACATGACAGTGATCTCAAATGGAAATCTGTCGTTTCTATTACCTGGACGTTGAATCAGTTCCCTTGCTGCGAAAGGTTGAGAGAGAGAAGAACGATCGTGGAGCTGTAAGATATTTTCCAACATTAGAAATGCAGTTCATCTCCAAACTATCTTTTTCTTCATTGTTTAAGGAAGATATCAATATATATATATATATATATATATATAAGCTCATAAACAAAAGGAAAAAGATGTGAAGATCGAGGAATAAGTACAAAAGTCATTTCCAAGTTGCCCCTTTGGCTGAAAGTTTGAGACTAGCAAAAAGTCCTCTTGAACTTCGCTATATTTCCAAAGCCAATGTAATATTTGAGCAAGAAAGTATAGACTACGTTTAGGTCATTAGCAAAGCACATAACACCAACGAGCACTCACCTTTCAAGGAGCTTCCTGACAAGTGATCTTCCCTTAGCTTGAAGTCAGCTGGAGGTGCAGGAATCGAACTTCGTAATTCTTGAACTGTGGGGAGCAAAACAAAGATTAATAAGTGACTCCTAATTGTCATCAACCCTAGCTAAAAAGGAGGTCAATTCATAGGAGTTTGATTGAAAAAAGAAAAACATAGGTTACCCTGTTCACAGTACAACTCGCTTTCATTAAAGCCATCATCATGACCCTCTGAGAATCCCATTCGTGACTTCCTTAAGTCTTCCGATGACCTACTAGCAGGATCTCGCCCATCTTCTGTATCATCATCTCCCTCAGATGTTGTAGCAGAGATCCAGTCAACCATACTTTCCGTCCCGCGACTTTTCCTTCCAAACTTTAACAACCTTTTAAACCCTGTGGCCACATCCTTGCGTGACTGACTGGATGAGGTAGCAATAAGAGAAGGCTTCTGGGCACTTCCCCATTTCTTTCTCATTCTAGCCACATCAGTTTCTGCTTGTGTTATATTATGTGAATTCCATGATGCAGGACTCCCAATGGGTGAGTCCATATATGCATCAATATCAGAGGCCTCATGTGGGTAGGAGAATGGATGATTCATGCGTGCGTTCCATGACCGAGGGCTCTCACCAGGCGAATCCTGAGGTGCTTTATGAAACGAAGGCAATGTGGAGGGGAGCTCAGAATTTGTAGAATGATCCACCTGAGAATGAGAGTGAGATCTCATAGAATTCTCGATTTCAGACCCAGAATTACTTGATCTGCCCGATTCCTGGATTAATCTTAGTTTTCCATTATCCATATGAGCAAATTCAATTTCTATTTTCTCATGCTCTTCCTCCTCTTCCTCTTCTCGTTTGGGCATAATTTCTGAACCCTCAAATGCAACTTCATCAAATTCCTCATCATCTTTAGAAGTTTCGGATTCCATAGAAGCTTTCAACTTTGCTATACTTGTTCCAGCACCAGGGCCTATGCCATTGCCCTTCCTCAGAAAAGTCTTTGATTCTATGCCCTTCAAATGCTTATCATAAATACTCTCATCGTTCTGCTCTTCATCCAATATCAATGGTGCTAAAACAGCATTATCAATGATCAAAGGTGATATATCCTTGAAGTCAATAGCACTAGCAGAGTTCTTTCTTGAAGACTGTGCACGACGAGGCTTCTCCTCCTTAATGACTGGCTCTTCATTGCTAGTTTTACCGCGAGAATAGTTTCTCGTCAGAGGGCGTGCTGATGATTTGCCACCACCAGAAGGTTTTGTATTTTCTTTCCTCAGTTCAGAGAAATTAGGAACCGACTGTGCAAGAAGATTTTCTGTTTGTCCTCTTCGCTTTCCAGAACTGGAGTGGGAAACCTTGGCAAGAGACAAGTATGGAGCTGAAACCCCAGTGGAACGCGGGGTAGATGATAAATTTCTACCTGTGGAAGCCTTCTTGTTATGGTTGCTTCTGGAAGCACTATCCGATACATATGAATCACTATGCAATCTATCATTCCCATTAAATTTCTGCTCCAAAGCCTCAGGAAAGTCCCCATCATCCTCACTTTGAGTTGAATTGATCAGTGGCTGTTATGCAGAAATATTTAACATCATTACGCATGAAAATGAAAAATACGCAAGATTAGAAACAAGAAATAAAATGAGTGCAAAAGAGAGAACCCAGGACTTCAGCATCATTAAATTCCCAAATAAAAATAAAATAGAAATGATACCTGGTCTCTTGTTTGAGAGCGAGAGTTGAATGATCTCAGTTTATCTGTACGTCTCCGAGCACTAGCTACGGAATCTTGTCGGTCGACAGAACCAGAAAATTTTGCTTTCATCTCAGCTTTACTTTTCTCAAGGCTGTCTTGCATGGCCTTCATCTTGGCTTCCTTCTCTGCTCTTTTGGAACTCCATTCTTCTCTCAGCTTAGCATCTCTTTTCTGCATATACTTGTTATAAAATTTTCCTCTAGAATCATCACTGAAGTCATAGTTATTTACCAACTTTGCTGGCGTTGTATAAATATTTTCCATTTTATTTGAACTCCCCGTTGATTCTATTACCGCAGATCTTTCCACCACTTGAGCAGGAGAAGTGTCTAAAGCTGAAGATGTTCTATGCTGCGAACCAATTGCATGTTCTAGCTGCACGTCGGCAGTATTGTTTCGCCTCGCAGAGCTGGAGTGCTCCCCTGGAACACGGAGCTTGTGCTCTGCAAAAAGCTTTTCAAGTTCATTTGCCTTCATTTTTAGTTCATCATTGAGCTCCTGATTTCCCTTAGTCTGCCTCACTCTTGGAACTCGCTCTCCTGGTATGCTTGAGGTTGTAGGAGTGCTTTCTTGGCCATCTGGAACACTTTTCCCAATCATATCCATTTTACTTCTCTCATGAGGATAACTGCTTTCTTCTCTGCCAACTTGTGACTTCTCCACTTGTTTACGGCCAGCCGAATCAGGTTTCTGCAATTTCATTTTCTGAGCTCCAAAATCTTCTACTTTAAGATTATGCGTACATGATGATGCGGGGTTCTTGCCAGCCACTGCCTCAGGTTCGGCTTTAAAAGATCTCCGTTGCTGAGGTAATTGGCCGCCATCAACTTCGATGGACTGAGTTGATGAGGATTCCAGTTTTATTCCACCGTATTCAAATTGGTTAGAAAAAGAACGAGAACGACTCCGGTGACCCATAGGACGTAACGGATGTGCTGAAAAGTCTCTTGGTCCAGAATCATCCATCTTATTACCTAACCTACCATCAGTATCCCCTGCCGTCTTAGCAAAAGCATCAACCTGGGACGAAACTTGATTCTTGGCTCCATCGATTTCTGCTCGATCTGCAGAGCTTTTTCCCTTTGTCTCAGAGCCTGATACACCTTTAAAGGCCGTACTTTTGTCATCACTGCTCGATAAATTCTTAGCACCTACTTGAGAAACCCCTCGATCATTCAATCCAACTGGGTCTGCTCCACCAGAGAATGACCTGACTTGGGCCTGAGAAGCTGATTGGTCCTTCCAATCGACTGGTACCTTTGACACCCCAGCCTCTTTACCTGTATAACCATCAACTGGATTTTGTTCCTCTGCTTGTTGGTTGGCCTCCTTATCACCAACTCTAACAAGATTGACCCTTTTTTCAAGCTTAGTCTTACTCTCCAAATCGGGAAAGCTTTTCTCACTTTGAATTTCGGTTGCACCAGAAAATATATTAGACTTGGTATCAGAAATTGAAGATGAGGAAGGTGTACATAATGGACTCTCCACGTCCTTCTTTTCATTACTGAAATCAATACTCATATCACTCACACCACTCCATCTCCTCAAAACCGCCTTCTCCACCACCGATGGCGCTGATGAAACGTCTGAAGAGAGCCTTCTTAATTCCGGAGGTTTTCCAGAAACGGGTTTGCCTCCTCCACTGCCACTGGTATTTTCCTTCTGTTTGTTCTCAAAAAGGTTAATACGATCTTGGACGCTGAGACGCCTGGCAGGCCGACCCACAGGAGTTGATGACGATTCCGTCGGAGTCTCCTCTTCCTTCTTCTCTTTCTCCAAGTTTTCGGTGCCCGTCTCCACCTTCGTGTCGTCTTTCAAGTTTACGTTGCGTCGGCTCGAGAAGGTGGCAGAGGATTTGGCCGGTTGACACGTGGTGGATCTTGATTCGTCCAGTTGGGAATATTGTTCTTCAGTTTGTGAAGTTGTACCAAATTGTGGATCGTGCTTACTCTGTGTTTGGTTTTGCGCCTTGATATGAGTTCCAACAGGATCTTCACTGATGTCATCGATTGACATGTCTGACCCACATGAAGATCTGATGGCTCGGTCATCGACACCTGGAGCCCACGTGTTAATAAGTTCCGGTCTCCTCCGGCAAACAGAAATGAAACTAGAGCACGCTTCGCTGCGAAAAATTGAAACGCTACGTTAAATTACAGGAAGCATTATCAGAGCAAAGCCGAGGTCAAAAGTGGAGAACGCACGTCATGCAATGTAATTTGGAAGTGACCCAATAAATGTTCACTAATATACCTCCTGCAACTAGTAATGTTACTTCCATCTTCGTCACTTTTACTCGGTTTCTCTCTGTTGCTTTATCTATGTTTTCCCAATCAAGAGAAAATAAAAATCTGAATTCTAGTCATTACAGACATCTGAATAGAGTACGCGAACTTCGAGGATTGAGGCCATGGTAGTCGGTTGTCTCAGTTTGTTCAATGGTGGGAGAATAATTTTGCTTTCTACGACAGAGAACGAAAGCAAAGGCTGCTTCTTTCTTTGCTTTAAATAAATTTCTTCTTGCCCCATTTCGAACAACGTTCTCAAAGAAGAAGGGAAGGGAAAAAATTGGATGAAAATGCCAAATGTTGCCTTCCTCCATCAGCCACTAGACTCACTCATCTTCCACAGCAGCGAGAGGCACAACAACAATGGCGACAAAGGCAAGCACCATGGCGACAGTGCTCGCCTGGACATGCAATGTGAGTAATGCTAGACCAGCACGGTATCGCCTTAATGACCCTGAGCAATAAGTTAAATCTATCCCATTTATCATGCCAACCGTATTGGGAGGCGTATGGTTAAGATGACCCACCTTTTGATGTACGACACTTTCATTTCTTTTTTCTTTGTGCAAGAAACTAGTTGGACTATAATTTGAGTTGTTCCGGATCCATTTTGTACCTCGGTTTTGAAGTGGACTAAATTAGTTGGACCATAGATGATCTCAATTCTAAATTTGAAGTGGGGCTCCTCCATACTTCCCATCAACTTTTAAAATCCCAGGCTCTAATCCTACCAAGTTGGAGATAGTGATGAGGAAATTTTTATGCAAAGAGGAGGTGGGGGAGGTTAGTGACTTGCGTTATCTTTGGTGGGGGATACGGATGTTTGGAGATTGGGAATTCAACTTTGTAAAATGAAGAACCCTTAAGCAAAGTGGTTGTGGTGGTTTCCGGTAGAACTTTACGTTTTGTAGCATAAGATTGCAAGCAGATATAGTGTTCAGCCACTAATGGTTGAGCTACTGTAGTAGATGTTAATGATGGCCTTTCGTACAGTTTCGCTGGACTCTGCAAAGCGACTCATGGCCATGCCGCATTCTTCAATTCTGTTAACCATGCTATCGAGGATGAGATTTATATTCAATTCTGGGAGGACGGCCATATGATCAACAATGCCTTTCGTTCTAGTCTTTGCAATATATGTCTATCTAGCCACTATACAGGTTGCTATTAACCAATATATGTCTATCTAGCCACTCCTAAATCAAATCTACTCGTAGTTTTGTCCATTAGGAGTGATCCAACAGCGAGGGGTTAATGATTTGACTTCTCTTCCAGCCATTATACAGGTTGCTATTAACTCTCCCTCACCGCCCCCCCTCCCAATGTCTACATGATCAACATCTAGAATGTCAATTTTTCTCTTGGAAAAAGACTAACAATGTTGAATTCAACGGTCCTCTTTGGTGATAGTGCTATGCTGCTGGTTGGTGTGTCCATTTCAAACAAATACCAGAGGATTTAAATCGTATTCTTTGGAGATAGACGACAGAAAATCTATGGTACATTAATTTTCAATCTTTTGGCAGGTTGTGAGTTCCTGTTCCTAAAAAAAGTCAACTGGTTATGGTCATAGAGATTCTCTTGCGCCCCCTAGTTCAAGGAAGAGGGAAGTGTTGCAAGTAAACTTTTTTGTTTCTCTTCAGAGTCTATATCTTGAGAAAACTAGGAGAAATTTTCACGAAATTGAGTGGGATAGTTTAAGGTGCCCAACACTTCAATGGCTCTCTTTGCGTTTCTGCAAGGACTTTTTGTCACTATCCCTTCTTGTCTCTCAGGGTTTTCACAAAACTAAAATAAGAAACCAAGTACAACACAAATTCCGGAAATGAAAATAGAATTGCAGTCTCTCACTCACTATAATATGTTGACCAACTTCTTATCACCAAATTCTAGACAGAAACCAATGTAAAACACAAATTCATGAAATAGCAAGGAAACCAGTCTCTTGCTAAGATATATGGTGAGAAGGTCAATCCCCCTGCTTGACACTCAGACATGGAAAAGAAAATCCTTTCCATACCCTCCTCAGCAGTTGAAACACAAACCTAGATTTCTGCCAAATATGCAGTTCAAGTTCAACTCTATGACATCCATGTACAATAATCACCACGGGCAGAAAGATCAAGATATAGATATGAGGTTATTAGTAGCTATTAACACACATAAGTCAAATATAAGACTTTTGTAGAGTACTTACGTGAGGCGACGGGCACCAAACTGATCGGCGAATAGTTGAAGGCCAGACACTGTACTGGGATTAAAACCGGCAGCTAATGCACGAGCAGAAGCTGTGACCAAATCCTGCTTAACTGCAACAAGGCGTACATCGATAGCTTTCAAAAGCTCCTTCCTGAAAATTTTGACAAATTATTAAAATGAGACACCTACCCACACACAATACAATTCAGAAAACTTGAACTATCAGTCCAGTTATAATTAATGCGCTGTAAATAACAATAAAAAAAATTTCATAACGTAAACCTGATTGATATATTGGCCATCCCAACTTTAATATCAAATTATTACAGCCATTCTGTCATATTTTACCTATCCAAAACCTGCAATATCTACCAACCTACGAACCACAACATCATTAAATACTATGTTTCTGACATCCCAAACAAAACATACTGACGATTTCTTTAGTGAAACCACATAGATCTCACCCTCATTTGAAAGTTCGGCATAAAACTCAAGCATACTACAAAACGTATCTTGAGAAAGACGAGAAATTTTCGACTTCAAGCATATCTCTACTGACACTAATAACAGCTTTCACAATTAACTTGACAAATACATGAAAAACATTAATAGGAAAAGAGAAGGGATTACTTGGTTTCATCTGTTGAGCCTGTACCTGTTCCATCCCCACCTAGGTTAAATTATCAAAAACAAAAGTAATAATAATAAGTATATATCGTTAATAGAATATTAATTTAATCTTCAAAAAATGTAGAGGTACTAATAACTGTTTTTATATAAAGCAATTCACAAACAATTATTGAAATATTTCTCTAATAAACCTATTGCCCTCGTTCAAGAATAAATGGTAGCTGAGCAATGAGATGACAATAAAGGAGTTTTCCACAATCAGTGGCATGGAAATCTGATTATCTCTCTTTCACCCATGCACAAATTTCCTGACCAAATACATTGCTGCTTACATGTTTTAGCGGTCGGCTATGAATTTTAACATAAAATCTCTAAATGACACATCAAAATGAACTTCAGAAGTTTCCAAGAACTATCGAAGTAATGAACTTTAGAACATCCAAATGCATTATGAGTTTTGCAGATAAACAAAAATGTTAGTAAGGTTAAAAAATAAATTCTAGGCAAATAGAAGGAAATTAAACATACCCGATGTGCCAGAATGCCGATCACCTTCCCCCTAATACAAAAATATATATATATATATTCAGCAAAACAAGACAAATAACTGTGCTCCTCTTAAATGGTACTAACTATTTGCAGTGCTTACTTGAGAATATATTCTTCTAGCAGATTCCAATTGAGACATCTCCACATCAAATGTATTGACCAACTCCAATATCTCAGGCGTGCTAACAAAACGCACAAACCTGGAAATAAACCAAGCACATCAACAAGAAAACCCAAGAGAGCCTGGCCAGTTGCCATCAAAAAAATTGAATCGTCAAAACCAAGTAGGAAACACTTTAACCTTTCAAGGGTTCCTTTCGTGAACCAACCATCTCCACCCCTCTCAACTTCAAGCTTAATTGTCTGGACTGCATGAGCAAACTGCTCTTCTGCAGCCTTTAATTGAGTTACAAACGGCTTCACTGAACCCGATGCTAGTTTCTCTGTGTTGCCATGGCTAGAAACAAATAGTTCGCAACTGTCCAAAGGGGGATAGAACAAGTAAAATTAGTAAATAAAAGATTACAGTACAAAATCTAAACAGCCAAGGTGTGCTATCCGCACCGTGAACGCCTAGGTGACAGTTGAAATACAGCAAAATCCAGAGGCGTCTCCGGTTTCATTTCCTTTTCACTTCACAGAACTTCAAGTATTTATCTTTTCCCAAAGCACTTCATCCAACCAGCCTTTCTTCGTGGAATAAAAGTACTCTAGCTCCTGATAATGCTTGGTACGACCGTAGAACTTTGAAGAAATATAGCAAGAAGCACCGCTGCTATAATGCAGATTGGGAACGAACGAAAAACCCCTTTAAAGAGCATTTACATAATGAATTTTTCATTCCAGCAATATTAAGCTTCAATGAAAATTTACAAAAACACAATTCAGATTGTAGAAGAGGTTGCAACAGTGATATGGTAATAGAAGACAATAAAATCCAGACATTTCATAAAAGTAAGATTATCCAAGAAAATTTCATTTCATAGAAGAAGCCCAGCACAAAAAAACATCAAACTTCGCTCCTAAATGGCCACCCAACATACATCCCAGATCTCACTCCCAAAGCCCTTTAGAAAACCCAATGTTAATAAATTCACCCGCCCCCCAAAAATAGAAACCCAAGCTTCATAAAATGAAGTTATATACGCTTAGATCTGATTCAACAATTAAAAATAAAATCAGATGGCCAAACCGAAGCAGACTCGTATGGAATTCAATCCCACAAACGCAAATTCAAATGCCATACCCACCCGCCCCAAAAAAAAAATATATCCACAGATAACAAACAATCTGGATATTGCACAAAAGCAGCCAAAAAAATAAAAAAACCAAATGCACAAAAGCGAAAGAAGCTCGTCTACATACCGAAACAAAAAATAAAAACAAATAGCGGAAGCCAAAATGCACAACCGATCGTCTATTTCAGAAGCATACCCGTGAAGTCCGCATCCAAGATCTCAGCTAACGCAATCGGATCCTCCGATTCAAGCCAAAGCAGAGAAGATTAGCAGCATTCAACTAGCTGGTATTTCTCCATATCCTTTGCTTTTCTCTGGGGACTACGGTATCCTGTGAGAAAAAAACTTCTAAACAACAAATTTGGAGAATTATATTTAGGTTGCAAGAAAACCCTAACACAATGAGAAGATGATTTCTGCTTTACTCGTCGCTGTGAAAGAATGTATGTCGTTCTCTCTCATAATTCTCTCTCTACAAGAGATACAGTAGAGAGAGAGAGAGAGAGGCAGAGATGTGAACTGGAGAGAGGACTGTGCTTCGCCCAATGCTTTTTGTTTGCAATTTCGAAATCAAAAAAACTTTAAAACTCATTTCCGGAACTTTATTTACAGAAACGGGCTGACTCCTCCTCACTGCCCCCCTCACCTCCCAAATTACCATTCTATCCTCCTAATTTTTTTTATCTTAAATATTATTTTCTTTATTTTAAACAAAAATTATAAAAATAAAAATAAAAATACTCCTTTTTCGAGGTCGTACTATTATTATTTTTTTATTTAACATAAAATTTTCAAAATTAGCTCTTAAAAAAAAACCATGGGTATTCTTGTAATTTTGAATAATGTAAATATATTTCAAGATATTTTTTTCATAATTAAACATTTTAATAATTATAAAATAGATCTTTATCATTTTAATAATTTTAATTATACTATTTCCCTCACCTCCCAAATTACCATTCTATCCTCCTTCATTAATGTAATTTTTTTATCTTAAATATTATTTCCTTTTTTTAACAAAAATTATAAAAAATAAAAATAAAAATACTCCTTCCTCGAGATCGTACTATTATTATCTTTTTATTGAACATAAAATTTCAAAATTAGCTCTTAAAAAAAACCATGGGTATTCTTGTAATTTTGAATAATGTGAATATATTTGAAGAATATTTTTTTCATAATTAAACATTTTAATAATTATAAAATAGATCTTTATCATTTTAATAATTAAACTTTAGGTTTTAATAATACTGTTTATGTGGTTAATGATAAGTAAAATATTTGGTTAGTATTAAAAATAATTGGGATTTTAATTCGTTTAATTCTTATTATTTATTATATTCAATAGGTATGGTATGATGTCATAGTCCTATTATATTAGCCATTTAACATCCACTAACAAAAATAATTTTTAAATATTGATGGCTAAATTTTAAATTTTAAAACATCGCCACTTTATTTAAAAATAAATAAATATTCAAACGTGAAGGATAATTAATCTTTCCAAAAAAAAATTAAATTAAAAAAATAATGATGGCCAATTTTTATTTATTTATTTCCTATTTACTCTCTCTCTCTCTCTTTAATTTTCTTAATATTTATTTTGTCTTTTTTCATTAATATTTATACTCATCACCAATTTTTGTTCATTTATTCATTTTAAGAGAAAAAAATATTATCTCATTAATTAAAACATATTCTCTCTTATCCTTCTAGATATTTAATGGTTTTATTTATTTATTTATTTATTTATTTATTTATTTATTTATTTTTGGATAAAAGACAATGAATAGATGCTTTTGTTGTACTCCAATTTTAGACAAATTCTATTTTTGCAAAAAAAAAATAATAATAAATATAAATATAAATATAAATTAAAAATATTGAGTCGTATTTTATTGAAATAATTTATTAAATAAGTGTTTTTAAATACGATATAATTTCTCTTTTTCATTTAAAATTGTGATATTGAAATAGAATGTAAATTTTACAAAAATTGTAATAATTATTCTCATCCATATTCTAATAATTAAAATATTTTAGTTTGTATTTTAAAATTAAAATTGTAACGACCCAAAGTTTCTCCTCAAGGCTTTAAAACGTGTATACTAGGGAAAGATTTTCATAAACAGTGTTTTGTTCTCCTCCATCACAATCCATCTCCCTTCAGGACCCAGCGTCCTCGCTAGCACTCGTTCCTTTCTCCGATTGATGTGGGACTCCCGCCAAATCCACCCCCCTTTGGGTTCCAGCGTCCTTACTGACACACCGCCTCGTGTCTACCTCCTTCAAGGAACAACCTCCTCACTAACAAATATTGTCCTCTTATATCATTTGTAACAATTCAAACCCACCGCTAGTAAATATTTTTTCTATTTGGGCTTCCCCTCAAGATTTTAAAACGCATCTACTAGGGGAAGGTAGAACATCACAAAAATATAATATTTAGAGATAGGACTAAAATAAAAATAAGATTTCAATTTAAATTTGAAGCTCATAAATACTTACAAATATTCAATGAGGGGAAATATTAAATTATATAATATTGTTGAGATATCAAAGTGAATGTACAATATTAGCCCTCCATAAAAGACTGATTTTGTCCTGTCCTTTACTTCATCCGTTAGGTGCCACTCGTTAGAAAAGACTAAAGAGGCATTCAATTTTCATTATTTTGACCAAATTACCGTTTTAACCTTACTCTTTATTATTTTAATTCAAAATTAGGGGTAGAAAATAAAAAATATTGTTAATTTTGAATATTGTGACACCATTTTATAGATTTTAAAAAATAATTGTTCCAAAAAGTTTAATTGTCCAAAATAAATTTATAAAACTATTTATAATCATTTCATTTTAATTTTTAATGTTTTAAAATTCTACTCTAATTAAAATAAAATAATAATAAACCTTTTTAAAAACTTTTATTATTTTTGGCTATATAATTTTCAACCAATCAAAAAATTACAAATTGAGTTTAAAATCTAAAATAAAAACAATAATTATAAGATGGAAATAAATAATGAAAGACATTATTTTATGTTTTATTTTTCTAAGTTTGTGGTTGTCACAGCTAATTGAATTTTAAATAATTGAAGCCCTCATTTTCATAATTTATACACTCCCTTGACTTAATTTTCTCATTAATCCATAAAATTTTAAATACATTTATATTTAATAAATTCACGACAACATATAAATATATATGACATTAAAAAAATATTAAATTTTATAACTTCACTTTTTCACCTTAATTCTAACATTCATTCATCTGAATATTTAGAATCTGGATTTGGTACTTGATGACTCTAATATTCTCCTATGACATCGCCATTATTTTATTCTTACATATTAACACGGGAGATTTCAACTTGTTTAAGGTCACCCAATATAGACTTAACTTCGAAATTAAAATTTAAATTTAAAACTAATTAGTGTATTTGGTTAAAGTACGGATTTAGTTTGTATATCTTTCACAATCAAATCGCTCTAACACGTTCTTCCATATTCAAAATATAATTTGATTATACGAAAATGTAATATTCATGGTTAAATACTAATATATTAGAAAATTTGTTAGTTAGCTTTCTTTTGGTGAACCTGTCACGAGGGGCACGGGGCTGCAGTTGCATCTTAGAATTGGTTGAGTCTTAACATGCATGAACTCTATGAAATTGATACTGAGGTCGCGCATCGAGGGCTTAGAGATATGATGATAAGAGGGACAACATAAACGACTAACTAGGAGAGCTAGAGAACTCAAGAATATTCATAGGACTCAGAAACAGATAGAGGATCGAGAACTAAGAAAATAAAATTAGTAAATCTAGGGTATAGCGGGAAAATGCCCATACTAAAGAACGAACTCCCAAATGAGAATAGGACATCAAACGAATTAATTAAGATCGGTAAAATTGATAACAAACTATGAACTACTAACAAACTGCTCACGAACCATATTTTATATACTATCTATGGTTAAAGACGTTTGTGGGACGCCGAGACACGTGTGGAGCATCTCCTTTCTTTTCTCCTTTGTCAGCTTTTGCATTGTTTTTCTACCGTCTCCTTTTTTTACTTCGCGAAATTTCATCCTCTCAACCACTCATACGTCGTCACGTTGCACTAATACGTGTGATGACGTATCATTTTCAACACGTGGGCCCCACCCCGTGGTCCATTTTAATTTAATAACAAAATAAAACCTATTTTAATAAGCTTCTTCCGTTTAGTACAATAATTACGAAAAAAGAAATAAACTTGTGAAATTAAAAATTGAGTGTATGTCAATTGCAATAAGGTAAACTCTTTAAATCTCTTTTCATTTGATGAAATTAATTTACTAACCAAATAAAATCTATTTTAATAAAGTTTAAACTAAATCTAGAATAAGTTGCAAAATCAAAAGTTATCATGTCAAGAGTGGCGCGATCTGGACCGTTGGATTGGGAAGCTGGTTGGACTGGGACCCACGTGAAGGCGACATTTGGTAATCAATGATGGGGAAGCTGAGATTAGGAATTTGAGGTAGATCTAGCGGTCTAGATGGGGGAAGGAGAACCATCGTAATTTCCACGTCCAATTTGAAGACCAAAACGACATCGAATAATATATATCGTGGGTGAAGGAGAACCTTCGTTACAATATTTACGAGCTTAATTACAATGGGAGAAAGTTGATGAAATTAGAAGTATCCCGTATTCATTATAATTTAAACTTCCGACCTCAATAGAATGGAATGAGTACATGTTAAATAAATAAATAGATATATTTACATAATTTTGTCTTTTACCAATTGATTTGTGACCTCTCCCATTAATGAATAAATATTAGTTAAAATATTATATTAGCTTGACCGTTTTAGACCCCACAAGAATATCTATAGGTTGCTATAAAACTAGGTTTATAATTGTAACAAATCAGAATAGTTTAATTTTTATCCTTTACCTGAAACCATATATATACATATATATTGAACAATTCTAAAATTAAAACTATAGTTTAGATTTAATTTCACCAATTTTTCAAAGCTAAATCTACGCTTCATACCATAATAATAATAACAAACAATAAAAGTTGATGGAAAAAAAGTTAATTAATAAAAAAACAAACTAAAATTCAAACACAATCATATAAACATTGAATATTGAATATTTGCCTTAAAATACTAAAACTTTTGTTTTAAGCAAAATTCAAATGTGAACCAACCAATTTCCGTCTCTTTAATTCAAATCCACAGTCCCGCCTTAATTAATTAAAAAAAAAAAGGAAAAAAAAAGAGACATTCAATCATTATAATGCACGGCTCATGTTAGGGAGAGAATGCTGCTTTAAAAAAAGCATATTTCAATTTCTTTCTTTTATTTTATTTCTTGTACAAATTCAAAATCTTTGACACTCAAGATTTAGACCAAAATTAACCCAGCTATAAACTTTAAACACATCTATAAAACATTGACAAAATTTAATAACTAGTTTTGAGAACGGGTTCCAAACAGCACACTCCCACCTCCCAACCCGAACTTAGTCGAAAAGATATCATTACTACTCATACCCCACTTTTTT